AATTAGGGTATTTCTCCAAGTTACTGTTATCTTCCAAGGCTGATGCCTCCGTCAGGCTAAGAATGCAAGAGGATGGACAAGAAGTCATGGGAGACAGGGGGTTGCTTTTAGCAACCTGCAAACAGCACTGCCTCTGTTGAACTGACTTGCAGGCCCAGAGTTACATATAAGGAGTAGATCACACTCTTGGGGTTCACCAGGGGACTCTGAAGCAGGAAGCAAGTTATGCAACAGAATACATCCAGGGAGGGCAACTCCCACAGTTGTCTTCCAATATAGAATTCTTCAACTATACAAAAAATGCCTCCTATTTTGGGTGGTTTTCAAATGGATTGCTTTCCCCTTACCATAATTTAAGGGAAACCAAAGCAGTTCTATTTAGACTTTTTTTAAAATTTCAAAATATTAAGGACTTTCAAATGTTTTAGATTACATGGATCACTACGTAAAGCTTGAGTCCTGGCTATGGATGTGCCCATCACCCACATAGAGTTCATAGTAGCCAATGGGCTGAATTATTCCCCTTCCCTCTGCGCTCTGTCCCTTTGGTTGTTTTCCACTGACTTTTACTTCCTTGTTTATTTGAAATTTTACTCAGGACTTAGGACTCAAAGCTTTTCTACAGTAGTCAAGAAAGTTTTGGTGAAAGTCACTTAAATTTATTTTAAATGTAAGCATCCACATCAAGATATTCATCCTAAAAAGAGATGAATATTTTAAAAATAAATATCTTTAAATACTGTAAGCCAGTCTTCTTTTGGAGCAACTAGTGACCCTTACTGAACATGTCCATCTATTCAAATATTAATTCTTATCAAGGGTTACACATTTCAAACAAAGAAAACCAAAAGGAAGGAATGGGAATCAAAATCAGTTTAAGGAAGTGTCTCAGTGGAAAGTGATCCAGGGTCAACAAGTTAGGAAAACCCTCAGGGACTACGCATTTCTTACAGCAAGTGATACAGACCCGGCTCACAATTTTGCGTAGTTAAATGCCCTGAAACGGCTGTTAGTTTCTATTATGTTTAAAAATGAACAATCTGAAATCATAATATATAACAGTATATGGGCAAGAAGTATCAATGCTGGGCAACGCCTGTGGCTCAGTGAGTAGGGCGCCGGCCCCATATACTGAGGGTGCAGGTTCAAACCCGGCCCCGGCCAAACTGCAACAACAACAAAAAAACAGCCGGGCATTGTGGTGGGTGCCTGTAGTCTCAGCTTCTTGGGAGGCTGAGGCAAGAGAATCGCCTAAGCTCAGGAGCTAGAGGTTGCTGTGAGCTATGATATCATAGTACTCTATCCAGAGTGACAAAGTAAGACTCTGTTTCTAAAAAAAGAAAAGAAAAGAAAAGAAAGTATCAACTCTATTAATTTTTCATTTACTGTTTTTCTGATTGCTGATGTGTGTATTATGGAATTATGGAAAAGGATAAGTTCATCATCTTAGTAATTATCATCCAAATAAAGAGATGGGTAAATGAGAACAGAGGTAGTATGTATTGTGATAATTGACCAGTAAAGGATGGGTGAGGATGCATTTTGAACTAAGGATGGTAGAAATCATTTTCCTAAGGGTATTTTTTGAAAAGTGTATTCTTTGCTGTCCCATAAGCCCTTCCCTGTAATCCTACTTGTCAAAATCCCCTTTCCTGAAATTTCTAGGTCAAATGTTACTTGTTTTCACAAAGTCCTTTCCAGTTAGTGCAGCAATTAACTAGCTGTGCCTCAAAAGAGCTGGTCTCGTATAGTTCATGTTTGCACTCCTCGTGACTCAGCACCCTGTAGGTTCTTAAATTATAGTGCTCAACAACTGCATCCATCCTCAAGTAAGGAAAGAGTAAGGGGGGCGCTCCATGTAGAAGAGAGACAGTATTAAGCCAAGAGCATAGAAAGGTCCAACCACATCCAACTAAGCATCTATTAAGACCCTACTCACGAACATGGCACACAGATTCTTAATTAAAAAAGATGTATGAATTGGATCATATTTAGATTACATGGATAGGAAAAGCACGGGGTAAATGGAAGTTTTGAGTCATCTAAGAAGCAGTGATTTTATATTTTAGTTCCACGTAGACTGTGACTCAAAGTCAGGAGAAAGAACATACAAGTCAAGCTGAGAATCCCTTTTATTCTGGATCTTTATAAGACCTTCAGCACCTCTGCTCCATTTATTTTCACTCCTTCTAGTAAGAGATATAGGCCCTCAGGTTTGGGTAAATGATAGGTCCTTACTTCTTAAGTCATTTGTTCACCTTAAATTACTGTCTTTACTGTCACAAGTCAGTTCTGTGGAATTAGTGGAAGCTGTGCTCTGGTCCCTGCACTTGACCTCAAGGCACAAAGTGTAGTCTTCAGCTCTATAGCTGCTAGCTGACTTTATCACATTAGTTGAATTTTCATAGCCTAAGTTACTCTGCAGTGTTTTGTTTTTTTTTTTTGGCTGGGGTCAGGATTGAACCCATCACTTCTGGTCTATGGGGCTGGTGCTCTACTCCTTTGAACCACAGGCGCCGCCCCACCTGTTACTCTGAAGTAAAACTAATACTAACAGTAGAAGCTCTGTAAGTTGACCATTCAGAGGACTATAAACAAATTGATCAAGATACTGAGGTGGTCAACATAAGGAAATGGCTAGGCCTACTGCTTCCTAATGGCATTCTTAAGACAATGTTTAAAATTGTTAACTTGATAATCCTAGTGCTCTGGGAGGCTGAGGTGGGTGGATTGCCTGAGCTCACAAGTTCGAGAACAGCCTGAGCCAGAGGGCTCTTGTCTCTAAAAATACCCAGGCATTGTGGCAGGCACCTGTAGTCCCAGCTACTTGGGAGGCTGAGGCGAGAGGATTGCTTAAGCCAAGAGTTTCAAGTTGTTGTGAGCTGTGACATGGCACTCTGTGGAAGGTGACAAAGTGAGACTCTGTCTCAACAAACAAACAAACAAAAAACTTAACTTGGACCTGCCTAGTTCCAGACTTAGAACTGCCTACCTGAAATACCTCATCCTATGCCTTCTCTGTGTTTCAGTGTGGAGAGCCTCTGTAATGAACAGAGCCATTGCCTTGACTTTAAATCTATGTTTACCTTACTCTTCATTCCCCCCCAGTCTCTATATACACTTTCATACAACTAATTCTTATTCATCCTTCAAATTTCAGTTTAAAAGCAAATTTTCAATATTTGTGTCTCTCTGTCCCCACGTCTGTCTATCCATACATCTTATGTTAAACTGCAGTTTTTGAATATCCAACTAGGTTTGAACTGTAACAATGGGAATTTCCTATACTTATCTAAAAAAATCTGTCTTTCTTTACTAAAGTCGAAGCTCCAAGTCTTCTTTTTCTTTTTGAGACAGAGTCTCACTGTAACCCTGGATAGAGTGCTGTGGTGTCATAACCTCAAACTCCTAGGCTTTAGTGTTTCTCTTGCCTCAGCCTCCCAAGTAGCGGGGATTATAGGCACCCACCACAACGCCAGGCTGTTTTCAGAGATGAGGTCTCACTCTGGCTCAGGCTGGTCTTGAACCTGTGCGCTCAGGCAATCCATCTAACTCAGCCTCACAGGTGCTGGAATTACAGGCACAAACCATTGTACTTGGCCCCATGTCTTATTTATTTATTATTGTATCCACAGAGTGAAGCATAGTGCCTGATACTTGGGTTTCTATACACATTCTTTAAATTAATATGCTGTCCCCTGGCAGTCATTATCATTAATGCTGAAATATCATTTGCTGACTGTTTTACTGCCATCATATTTCAATAAAACCAAATCTGTGACTATCACAAAATCATGAATGACAGGGAGTTGTTTAAAAGAAAGAGAAGAAGTAAGGGAAAGACCAAGGAGGAGGAGAATGAAGTGGAGTTCAAGAAAGAGAAAGGTGTCAAAGATTTGAGAAAGGTAATGGAAAGAAAACTGAGAATAAAACTGAGGAGGGGGAGGGAAGGAGAGGAGAGGAAGGAGGAAGGGAGAGGCAAGGTGGGAAAAACAAAAGAAATATAGAATTTTTACTCTCCTTTTTTGCTGCAATAATTTCATGTCTATCAGTAAAGAAATAAGAAAATTGTGTTGTCAGTTATTTAGGCAATGATCTTGTGCCCGACTTTTTCAGTACATATGAGTTTATCTTTTTATCCATCCCTTCATGGCCCCAGTTTTGATTACCTATCTTTAAATATACTGATCATAATTTATGTCTTTTCTGAGTGCCTCTCATTTTCATGAATTTTTACCTATTTCACTTACAACTCTAATTTTCTATATGATATATTTCTGTTTTATTATTTAGATATCTTAATGTTGCTTCCTTTGCCCATTTCCCTTTATTTTAAAAATTAACTCATGATGTTTTAATTTCAATAAGTAATCTCTTCTGGGCTAATTTTGAGGATTTTGCTTATATTTAATTTCTTGGTACTGGAATTTTATATGAAGCTTAGTACTGCATTGATGAATGGGGCAAGGCAACTAACAACTAACACACAAAGTAGGTTGTCCTTTATATCGTTCTTGATAAGAACAAGTAACAGTGACATCATAAGGAAGTCAAAAATGCACAATTGATGTTTTGCAGAAGCATCATAAAAGAGCAAAAGAAGCTATATGAAAATTTCATGATTACTATAAAAAATAATGATAATTCTTAAGAGGAAAATGGTTAAGGTCAATTATCCAAAATAACCTATATAGAAAAACATCTCATTTCAGATTATCTTGAAAAAAAGCAATTTGATACGAGGATGATAATTAATGCATAATTAGTGCTTTGCTCTCCATGGCATGTTGCTTATTATATGGCATTATTGAAGACTATGTATTAATTAATGGTTTTTTTGTTATGTTTTCTTTTGTTTTTTTTATAGGGAGCTACAGAGAAAATAAATGTCCCCAAAGTTGGAGTACATTTACAGTACTTTTTTTAGGGGACCCTTTAAAGCTGAGGTCACAAGAAGATAGAAATCAGAATGACAGAATGATGGTGAGTAGGGAACTTACCATCCAGATCATTCTCTGGGGTCTCTGCCGTGTACCAGTTGGAAGGTGGCCCAGTGCCGTTGACTGTCATGGCTGACACTTGGAAACTGTACTGACTTCCTTTCTCCAGTCCTACAAAGGGAAAAAAATGTTACAAAGCAATTATTTGTAACTGATTTTCAAAAAGCTTTAGCAACATTTTAGGAATAATTGACAATTTTACCTTACTTGTGACTGTTCTGGTAATTATTGTTATTTTGACCAAAGGGTAGGAATATCACAATGAGAAGTAATTTTTTTTTATATTATCATCATGTACTTTTTTGTTTATAAAAATGTATCTGAAAATTGCCTCATGGCAGAAGCAGAATATAAAATATGAATAACGAAGAATAATAAAAAATAGCAAGAATCATTTTTCTTCATTTTTCACAAAAACCCTGCTTATAAATGAATCTATCAATCTAAAAATTTATGTCTTCATCATTCAGTCAAGGTCAGTGTTTTTGTCTTCTTGGGGCAAAACAGAAGAATCTAAAGCCAGTGTACTTTACCAGAAAACTATCTTTTGAGTATATTTGGTTTTGCATCGGCTTCCATAAGAGAGAAGAAAGTCAGTATCTATGATAATCTGGACACATAATGCCGTACCCGGTTATAATATTAGGGTATATTTTACAGAACATGGAGAACAGAGGTGGACCAGGGAGCCACATGGATCATTAGTCTGATAAGCATAATTTTTTGAAGTGAATAACTTTACTTTTTCCTAAATCTTAAAGTAGCTCATTAACACAACAAATTATTATTTCTTAAAAATGACATTAGTCAAAGGACCCTAAGACATTTTTGAGACATTGGGAACTCAGCTTAAATAGGCAAGTCTTTATAGCTCAAGACGTTGAAGGACCTTGATAAAAATTAAAAAAAAATATAACCTCTTTGGGTTTTTTCCTTGATCTGAAATGTCCATATAATTGGTGTCATGAAAAATTTATAATTAAAATTGAATAAATGATGCTATATACTGTGCAAAATAACATACTTATAGATTTTTGCCTAAGGAGTGAATACTCAATAGTAAAGGGAATTCTAACTTAGTACTAAAAGGAGATGATGCTTTAACCATTGATTAAAAAGGATTTGTTACTGTCAAGGGGCAATTGCCTTCAATAAGCAGTACTAAATGAGAAGACCACTTGATAAATCCATCCACATAAAGGTATCTACAACACAATATTCTGTCCTCTAAACAAGCTTCCAGTTTTAAAAAATAGATGGGAGGCTCCATGAAGACAAGAAATGAGAATGTCATTAGCACTGTTTTCTTTGTTATTATTGGTATTTTAGTGGCATATTCCTAGAGCCCACCACATGCCTGGTACATGGAACGTGCACACAAAAATCTTTTGCTAAATCTACTAAAGCTAATTAGGTACAACAGCATTTAGCCCTAAGAAAATATTAGATTGAAACACAACATTTAATATTGTCAACGTGGTAGCGAAAAAGATGGTTCTGAACACGTAGGCATGTCCTTACATCAATTTGTTAAAATAGCATTGATCTGATACTTGTTAATATTTACACCCTTTTATAGGCACTGTTTTTGATTTCTGAGGCAAAGGGATTAAAAGGCTTTTCTAAAAAATTAATAGAGGGAAATCTCTGGGAAGAAATTGTTACCCAAACACTGTAGCATATGACTTTCATAGTGGTTTATCTAAAACAGAGTTTTAATCCATCAAAATTAAAATCGTTTAGAAATATAATTTCATTTGTCTTCAAAATGGATAGACAATTATGTCAATATGGTCCCCAGGAACTGACTTGGAATACCATCTGTGCTGGGCAGTTTCATGTATCAATTTAGGAAGGCTACAGGATCCAGCTAGTCAATCAGACACCCACGGAGGTGATGCTGTGAGGGGTTTTGTTATGGGATATCCATAATATCCATAATATCCACAGTCAGTTAGTTTTTTTTAGAGACAAGAGTCTTACTCTGTCACCCTGGGTAGAGTGCTGTGGTGTCAACTCACAGCAACCTCAAACTCCTGGGCTCAAGCAAGCGATCTTCCTGCCTCAGCCTCCCAAGCAGCTGGGACTACAGGCACCTGCCACAGTGCCCACCAATTTTTCTATTTTTAGTAGAGACAGTCTCGCTCTTGTTCCGGCATTGGACTACTTAGCTCAGACAATCCACCCACCTCCGCCTCCTAGACTGCTGGGATTATAGGCATGAACCACCATGCTGGGCCATGTTCAGTAAGAGATAATTTTCCTCAACCACCTGGGTGGCCTAGATTCAATCAGGTAAAAGGCCTTAACAACAAAGTTGAGGCTTCCTTGAAGTTGCACTTCTGTCCTGCACTGGTTTTCAACTTCCCCTGGCAGTTTCCGCCTGTCTTTCCTCATGACCTGTTCTGTGGATTCTGGAATTGTCCAACCAGTCATCAGAGTTGATTAAGCCAACTCTTTGCAAACAATCTCTCAGTATAAATTCCAGCTGGCTGTCTCTCTGGTTGAACCCTGCCCGATATACCATTTTACCATGTGCAATGTGTTGACATAAATTGAAAATCTTTTTGAATGTTCTGTAGTCGAATCCATTCATTTGAAGTGATGATAATCCATGCGAGTGATTATTTGCACATTCTCTCAGTTTTTTACAGAAGTTAGTTAAAATATCTCACTATAAGGTTGTATGCAAATGTATCCTTATAATTTTGTCATATTTTTATTTGTATATTTTGAACTCAGGATCAGAGTCAGTAATCCAGTTCTGGGTAAAAGAAGGCATGCTAATAACTTGAAGTTAACACCAGAAAACGGTTTAGAGACCGTCTATTATATTGTAAGTATTTGTCCAGCAAGGTCTTCCCTGTTAAGCCCAAGCTATTTATCAGAATATCCCTTCCAACCATATACTGCAGGGGAATAATTCCTGACATTCTTTCCAATACATCTGCAGTGAAATTCTAGCACCCACACAGATTAATATCATAAATCTGAAAATCTTGTCAAATTGCTTTGAAATATATTTTATCTTTACAAAGTCCTTGATTTTGCATTTTACTACAAACATGTAGAGATGCATGTTTAAATATGTATATAGAATTTTGTTAATAAAGGAAATCATCTAACAAAGTGATGATATGAATGTTTAAATATGTATATAGAATCTTGTTAATAAAGGAAATCATCTAACAAAGTGATGATATGAATAAACCAACAATACTTTGGCATTGAGAAATTTACCAAGGGAGGTAACTCACCTCCAACAGTTTTACTTGTGAAAAAAGTTACTATAGTGTCACCTACACATAGATCCCACCAGTTTATCCTAGTGGGATCTAAAATAATTAAATACCTATTTTAGCATATGTTTGGCTGAGTCTTTGGATTCTAAATTTGAAAACTTCTGTATCAAACCTTTATCAACAGAATTAAACTTGTGATTCTTTTTCTAAATCTAGGTAAGTGTAGGATGTAGGAACAAGCAGAACCATTCTGATTTTTCATTGAGGTGATCTGGACATTATCTTTGAATGCTAGGTTACAGTTGGCCCTGCTTTTATGCTGTAAGAAATACTTGGCTGGGCAAGTTTTAGATGTACTGAAAGCTCTTTTAATCTCATTTTTCCATCTAAAGCGATTACTGATTATGAGGACGTTACAGTGTTCTTGTGAGGAACAAGTGCAAAGTACGTTTAAAGGTAATTTATAAGATCAAACATTTAATATATGTAAAGATAACTAATATCTATACAGTGATTTGCAGCTTACTTTCTCACTTGAGTTTTAAACACCCTGTGACTTTGGCACAGAATATATGATTGCTCCTATTATAGAGACAAGAGTAATAAGGCTCAGAGAAACTCAGCAAGCATATTGTGTGGCCCTTTAATCAGAGCTCATTCTATCTCTTGCTGGGCACCTGTCTTCAAAGGTCCACTTAATCTAGTGTGGAACCCCAGAGAGACATCTGCAACAAATAGAAATCTCTATGCAGACACTCAAGGATTTTGTTTTTATAATAATTATATCAGCAACGAATAATGGGCAGACAGCAGGCAGCATAGAATTGATGATTCTATTATTTTGACAGTGGATCAACCTAAGAGATCAATAATGCCCAAAATTTAGAATGAAGAAGAGTTAAATCATTATTTTGTTTATAAAAGTGTTACCCTGATCGAAAGAGGAGGTATCATCAAGAGTTATACAATCACTATGATCAAGTAATTCTGGGAGAGCCCAACTCGGAGAGCTAATATGAAAAGGTAGTTCAAGGCTGCTTCTATTTATTCATCCATCCATTCATTTATGTATTCATTGGAGGTGGAAGTCAGTCTCTAGTGGAAGGCTTTTCTGTGTGTGTGGATAGTTCCAGGACTTGTTAAAATGTATGTTTTCTAACCTGGGATAATGGGAATATAAAATAATGTTTTTTAAAATAAATTGGTCAAGAAAGCTTTAATTTAATCTCTTCTTGAGTTATTCAGCTTCCCTCACTGCAAAGGTAATCTTCAATTTTTCTGGATAATTCTAACAAACATCTCTTTCTATCCTGGCATTTTTCCACTATCCTTGATATAGTCATATAGTCACACATTCATTGTTTATGGTCAGAAATGCATTATCTACAGTTTAAGAGCTAAGAGTAAGGTTTTTAATTTAGAGAGAATAAGGTTTGAATTGTTGTTCCATCACTTATTAGCAGGGGTGAACTTGAAAAACCAGTCCTCCCCTTTGCCTCAGTGTTCTTATCAATACAGTGGGGATATATAAATGAAACTTGTTATAATGATTAAATGTAAAATTCATCTATATAGAAAGGTTGTAGCAGAGTGACTGGTGTCATGCTCAGTGAACGGTGATGTGGCAATTATGGCTGCAAATGGGAAACATTATTTTTACATCAATGATCGTTTATAGAGTCATATAACAGCTTGAGTCACTCACAATTAAGTGAGTCTGAGACAAATATGGTGCGAGGATCACATAGGTCAGAGTCTGAACACATGCAGTCTACTTGAGTTCATCCCCAAGTGGAGATCTTAGTGATATCTCTCTCTGGTTTTCAGTTACCTCTTCTTGAAAATAAGGAGTTTGGATGGGATGAACTG